TACTGATCTTCTTCTTCTCCACATTAGCTAGATTCAAATCCGATGTGCAACTAATTAAAAAAAAAAGAGAGAGAGAGAGAGAGAGAAAAAAAAGCACGATTGTCTACAATTTACCAATGTATTCAGGGACCGTGTCACATTGACCAAACCGTAGAGCGTGCTCGATATCTCTTCCAGGTATGCGATTTGAAAAAAAAAGAGAATACGCGTTCCGAGCGCGGCAAGACTGCGACCATTCAGCGAGGACGTCCGATACTGATGTGTCTCTTTGAACTTTTACATTTCAGATACAACCAGTTACCCTTCTCCGAAGAGTATTACCCGATGGCGATGTTGACGAAGCTCGACTTGATGAAGAAGGACGCGGACTCGGAGAGCACGACGCCCGCAAAGTCCGCGGACCTGGCTGCGCCGGACAACAACAACGCGACCATCCTGCCGATGATCGAGGAGCAAAGCAACTTTATCAAGCAAGAAGTGAACGACGAGGACGAGGAAGAGGATCTACCGTTGGCTTACCACTGTAAACTGTGCGGTGTGTTTTTCGCTTCGCAGGCACTGCTGGACAATCACGAGATCGAGCACAAGGGTAAACGTAAGAACACTTGCACCCAGTGCGGCCGGGTGTTCAGAACATACGTGAATCTGCGAAAGCACATGAAGAAGAAGCACCCGGGTCGCAAGGGAGGGCGTAAAGCAGGCGGTGCGCCGACGATGGCGAGCAGTCGTTCCAGTAGTACTCTGAAGGTAAAGAAAGAGAAGCCGGAGCTGGAGTTCCTCTGTAAAACGTGCAACAAGGTGTTCCGGCACAAGAGCAACTACCAGAAACATCTGATGCGGCACACTGTCGGCGACTTGACGTGCAAACACTGCCCGAAGAAGTTCCGCCTGTTCCGCGATCTCACCAGGCACGAGAAGACTCACTTCTATCCCAGTTACATGTGCAAAGAGTGCGACTACGAGACTACCGTGTTGGCCGCGCTCAGCATTCACATGCTGCGACACACGGACAAGGCGGATCTCCCGTTCAAGTGCAACGACTGCGACAAGCGTTTCCGCAAGGCGATCGACCTGCAGGAGCACTACAACATACACTCCGGGGACAAGCCTTTCGTTTGCCAGTTATGCGGCAGTGCTTTCTACCTGAGGCGGCAACTCTCCGCTCACTGCAGACGCATGCATCCTGAAATGAAGGCCAACAAAGTGACAAGCACGGCCTGCGACATTTGTGGCCGGGTGTTGGCTACGAAGAGGTCCCTGTTCCGCCACAAGGAGAGCCACAATCCTACGAAGCTCTATCTGTGCGATTACTGCGGCAAGAGTCTCAGCAGCGCGGAACACTTGAAGAAACACAGACGGATCCATACCGGCGAGAAACCGTACGTCTGCGACATCTGTGGCAAGGGTTTCACCGACTCTGAGAATCTGAGGATGCACAGGAGAGTGCACACCGGTGAGAAACCGTACAAGTGCGACCAATGTCCGAAAGCATTCTCGCAGAGGTCCACGCTGACTATACACAGGCGAGGTCACACGGGAGAACGTCCGTACATCTGCCAGATCTGCAACCGTGGCTTCTCGTGCCAGGGCAATCTAACATCTCACCAGAAGTCGACCTGCGTTTAAATTCGAGTGCCTTCCCTCTCGAGGGTAGAACTCTGAACCTAATCGAAGAACAATGGGATCCACTCTCGGTATCATTTGTGTCGTCGCCGCCGAGATTGTGGCCACTTCGTTGGTGCTGATATTACGAAAACGATCATTGGTTGACGATCGTGTAGCTTGTCGTGATCGATAAAGAACGCCAGAAAGTGCGTGTCCGTGGATTAGTTTTCAATTGAAACGAAGAAGAATTCGATGGTTTTCTTTTCTTTTTTCTTTATTTTTTTTCTTTTCTTTTTTTCTTTTCTTTCTTTTTTTTTAACGATTCATTACATTTTTCTTTCCAATCGCGTATAACACATTTGCGGCTGTAATTGTATTATTTGTTTGTTATCGAGGCATTCGATATTCTTCGCAATTTCTTTCACGCATTTCAATAACTCGAGTGACAATGGGTTTTTCATGATATCATCTCGCCGATCGGTCGAGTTTTCACTTCAATTGTGCGTTTACGATTCGCTGTGTAACTCGAAGAAATTCGTGTCGTACGGCAGAACAATTTGACTGTTGGACTGAGAGAACATAGCGACTGCAAGTTCCATGTTAGTTATAAAAATATTGATACTCGTTATTATATGTTTAATAAAAGAACAATGATTCACTAAAAAAAAAAAAAAAAAAAAAAAAAAA